ACCTGCATGTATTCAATTGCAGACTCGGTCCAACGGAGTTATCATTTCAAGGATACAATCTTTCATTTGAATTTGTACAATGCGATTTTAGACTTTTGTTGACACATTTTCTAACCTTAACATAAACCTATTACAAATTTGGACAATAGAAACTGAGCATATGAGAAAAAAAAAATCAATAAGCAGAGGCTGCCCTCCGTGAAAACTGCATGTTAACATGATCATCCCGACATAGGCATCTGTGTTATAGATATCTTTACCCCTCGTCACCCATTTATTTGCCCTCTGCGGACTGCATGCTGTGGGGCACTAGCCTTGAATCATCAATAATACATCTTTTTTTAAATACAGTTTTTATTTTCATAATAAAGTATTAACATAATAAAGAAGTTTACTGCAGGTATGAAATTACATTGCAGCAATAAAAAAAAAACATGTGCAACAACACATTACAATGGAATTCCAAGGCTGATAGTGTGGGAAAGGAAAAAAAAACATGTTTTTGTGTGTTACCTTGATTTTATCTGCAAAGCTCTTGGGAGTGCTTCTTTGCAGCAGATGTCTTTTATAATACATAATTGTAGTTAGAAATATTTACCCATTAGTCGCTGTTTAAGTTTGGAATTACTTGGTGCTGAATTGTGGTCTGAACTGTGTTTTTTTATCTGTGCCTGAGAAACATTGAGCTTTGCGTTATTTAAATTAGCTGTGTAGTGATGGTGCCATTTACCTAAAGGCCTGGGAGAGGTAAAATACATATATATATATATAGAGAGAGGTGTGTGTGAATATATCTATATTCTGTCCTGCTGTATGTTAGGATATTTAGCCAATTTGCTGTTTTAACACCTCTCGTTATTTTTACAATTAACCCTTGCAGTGGTGCTACCCCCGCACTGCAAGGGTTAGCTGGTCCTTTTGATCTAAGCACTTCAACTCTAGATGATTATAAGTCATGTACATGTGACTTTATAGGCGAGGTTCTCTAAATCATATGGAAATCTGGTATTGCTACTAATGTTGCATGTGTCCTTTTACTATTCCTATGACAGTTGTAAAACATTGCAAATCTGATGTCCTGTTTATCCTGACTGAGTATATGTAAGTCAAGAATGTTTTTCTTTTTTTAATCTCTGTAGGATAATCATGGGCCAGACGGGTAAGAAATCTGAGAAGGGACCAGTATGCTGGAGGAAGCGGGTGAAGTCCGAGTACATGCGCTTGCGGCAGCTCAAGCGGTTCCGACGAGCCGATGAAGTAAAGGTACACATACATGTCATTTTATACAATCTCTCCGCATTGTATCTATTCCATCTATTGTATCTATTCCATTATTGTTTATTGGCCTAGTTATTGTAACTTGCGTCACATTGGTAGTTTTGCTGCGCTCCTACTAATGCATCTTAGTTTAATGTGAACAGCAACTATGCTTGGATATGGATGTGAGTTGGCTTATAGTTTCATGCTCCGGTGGGTTAATTCTGTACCTGGCTTTGCTCATTAGATTCACACCAATATGTTTACAACCCTGTGTATATGCACACACAAAATTATTTTGCCTAGCTATTGATCTCATAAAATGGCAGGGATCCAGCAATGGCCCAATGACCGTGCTGTGTAAAAGAGGCCATTTATGTAAAAATGGAGAAGCCAAGCTTGATAAGGGGGGGGGGTGAGACGAGACATCTATTGTCTGCCACATACAATGCTGTTTTAACACCTCTCTCTGGGCAGGTTAATAAGACCTCCTAGCTCCAATTGTGCAAATGCAATGAACACCTGGTTGCGACTAACAGATTGTGTGGTTTGGCCCAACATTCACCATATTTATTCCCAGATCATTCCGAATGGAGAAAGCTGGTCGGATACAGTTGCCTTGACTTATTTTTTACAGATAGTGCTGTGGGAAGATACTCTCTAATAAAAACTGAAATTGAAACCTTGAGATGCTTGCTGGAAATAAAGCCTAATGTACCAAATTTCTCAGGCCACCAAACAGATTCAGATATGCCTTGAAAGTTTAAATTGGATTGGCGATAAAGAAAGCAGAAAGAGAGTAAGGCCTTGTTCACATGTGCGGAAAAACAAGATGATAGACCCACATTTTTAAAGCTTCCAACTGCCTACCAATGCACCTGAGAGATTTGAGTGTCAGTGGACAGTCCAGTACACACATCTGCACTTGCATCCTGTTGCGGTGCGTCACGTTTGCGATGTTTTTCCGCTGGGCAACCACCGCTGGATCTTCTGTCCCAAGGATCAGTTTACCATCTTGCTTAATGGTCTTTGGCTCAGCCCAGGTCTTGAGGGAAAGGGGATTTTCTGACTCTGCTAGCTCAGCAATGTTAACAGCCTGGAAGTGTAGTTCTTAGAAGATCTATCATGGCACATGGGAGGCATTCTTCTCTTGGTGTGAAAAAATAAATTTTTATCCCAGGACAAATCCTGACGTTGTACAATCAAGCTTGGATCAGCAGTCGCCCCCAAGTACGTTAAAGAATTAGACTTGTGATCTTTTTCCAAAAAATGCAAGGATCACAATCTTTGATTAAGACCTTACAGGGTGTCTCTCATGTAGGTCCCCCTATGTGCCTTGAGAAACCACCCTGTGCACCTGCCAAGGTTATTCCTTTTCCATTCTCAAGGTTGTTTAGCAGTCACTGCTTGGATTAGAATGACTGACTCCCTCTTTGTGTTTCCTGATGGTTGGTGCACTGGGGAACCAGCTACTCATTCCACTATCTCTAGGTGGTTGATTAAAAATCCTCATTTAGGCATATGGTCTTAAGGCTCGGGTGCCACCCTTTCCTGTTAGGACACACTCTACTAGATCTGTGAACGCTTCTTGGGCTTTTTGACATCAGGCAAATGTTTTTCAGCTTTGCAAGGCTGCCACCTGGTCTCCTGTTCACACCGTCTGTAAGTTTTATCAGGTGGATGTTCAGGCCTCATCTGATGCTAGCTCTGGACTTGGTCCTTCAGGCAGCTTTTTGAGCTGCAGGCAGTCCCTAGTTTTTGTTTTTTGTTTTCTTCTGTTATGGTTGTAACCTGTAGCGTTTCAGTTGCTCCGTTGGACTGCTTTCGGATGTCCCAAATGTCTCTGAATCCTGGGATTCCAGTTCAGTTTCTATTAATGGCTTCTGGACTGTTTAATGATGCTGTCAATGCCTGCAGCCTGGAGTCATGCTGTCCTCTTCCCTCTTCTGTTAAATTCTACTGTCCTCGGAGTCCACTTTTGTCTCCGTTTGACTGTGGCTGGATCCTCTGCCCTTTGAGCGGAGGCTTCTTTTTTGTTTTTTTTTACCCTGTCGTGCAAGAATTTGGCGCAAATTACCAAGTTATTCACTGACTCTGGTAGCAGAGGCCACAAGCACACTCCAATGGTCTCTCAAGTTCTTAATCGGATTTAACTGCGGTTGGTTTCTCACCCATCAGCCGCAGAGACTCATTCTGAGTCGATAAATTCTCAGCAAGATGTTGTACTCGGACCTTTGCTCTGAAGGCTCGAAAACAAGACGTTTCGCACAGGGCTGCCATCACACTTGGAAAGCACATTTCACTTGGTACAAGACAGGGATCCCATCTGTACTCTGTGGGAAAAAAATTATTTTCCATTCCGGCCTGGATCATTGTTTGGCCTGCTTTTCAAACGTTGGCACAGAGTTTGAAGCAAATTAAGACCAGCTCATTCAGTAGGAGTTGATTTTTGGGTGTAGATCTCTTCAAAATCTTTTGCATAAGTAGCGCTATACTGGGGCTGCAGCTTTCTTATTACTGTTGAAGCACTGATATTTGATCAGGTTATTTTATAGGGAAGGGATACCCTTACACTTAGTAGTTAGACAGGAGTTCTGACAAGCCTTGCAGAAGTGACTTCAGAACAGAAAAAGTCAGAATCTGCAATTAAGGGGGCTAAAATTACTCTGTTTTGCCTGTTTTCAGCCCAGTAAAGGGCTATTTAAAAGTTCCTGATAAGGTTCTGTTTTGTGGGTGCATTGAGTTGGCACCACTTAATTCATAGTGAAAGTCTGATATAAAGTGTAGTCATTTCTTAGCAATCAATCAGAATTTTCTTTCTGTGATTTGATTTATGGCAGCTGATTGTTTGTTACTATGCTTGCTCATCATTTTTAGTTCTATGCATTTTTCTTATAAATTAGGAGTTGTTTTGAGATATCCCAAAGATGTGTTCATAAAGATAAGATTTAAATTTACCATTCTGTTTTGCAGAGTATGTTTAATTCAAATCGTCAAAAAATTCTGGAGCGAACGGAAATCTTAAACCAAGAATGGAAGCAAAGAAGAATTCAACCTGTGCACATTATGACCTCAGTCGGTTCTCTTCGAGGGACAAGAGAGGTTTGTGTTTAGATCTCCCATCAACACTTAGCCTTGTCTTTATATTTGTCACAATATTAATTTTGATGTTTTTAAAAGTCATTTAGTTCATGCACTCACTCGTCTTTGCCACAGGTAGAGGTAATAGTAATGAAGGAGAATGTTGATGTTCAAATTTGAGTCCTGTGTTGTACTGTGCGGTTTTCAAACAATACAGCTGTATAGATGCAAACAATCCTGGGACGTTTCCGCAGTATAGGAATAATCCAGTTATTCAATTTATTATTTTTTTTTTCCTTGCATGAATTCTGGAGAGTTGGTATTGCAATTAAGCAATGCAGCAGTACCAACACTACATTGGTACTTAAATAAAGTTCTATGGAGAAAAAGAATGCATTTCATGGCAGAGAGTGCTTTGCACCCCGACCCCCCGATCTGTTCTTCCAGCATTGGATACTTTAATGTCATATATCTCCCTTTCATTCTGGATTCTTATTGATTAGTGATCTGTAATTGGCCACTCTGCAGTTGCAGTAAAATTATACTGCATGTCTCTGCTACCTAGCAGCTTTTCATATTCCTGGGCTCAAACTAACTCCCTGCCACCATATATATAAAAAAAAAAGGAAATGAAATGGGGTAATTCTGCCACTTAGAGGTAAGGATTGCTATCCAACCAAGCAGTATGTGATTAATTGACTGGCCCATGCAAGGGGCACTCGTGTTTAAAGGAGAACTATGGGGCAACCTTTTTGCTCATAGTTCTCCTCAAGGTCACGGGAGACCATATACTGTGTCCTCCAGTGACCCAAAACTCAATATATAGCCCGCTATATGCTGAGAGCGCCGCAGTCGGGATGAATCCCGACAATGCTGTCGAGATCCACCCCGCTGGCTAGAGGCAGAGCCAGCTGTGCCCGCCCTCTCCCCCATCCATTCCTCCAGTCAGCGCTGGAGAAACAGAGAGGGGAGGGCGAATCCCTGCGGGGAGCGGTGACTGACAGTCACCACTCTCTGCAGGGAGAGGATCGGGAAGTCAGCGACGGCGGTGTGTTTTCACTTACTTCCTGGTCAGTGGTATTGGTTAGGTATTTGCTGGGAAATTTGGGGAACATTTGTTTAGTTCTATAAGGTTAATTTAGTGACTTTATTAATAAGCAGTTCATTTTATAGGCAGAGTAACAAAAGTAGAGTCAATTCTTACTGTTTTGGACACTGGAGTTGGATGTTAACATGTTCAGGATGTTTATCTATTTTATTTCTTTTATTTCAGTGCTCTGTGACTAGTGACTTTGATTTCCCTAAACAAGTTATCCCACTGAAAACCCTCAACGCTGTAGCCTCTGTGCCTATCATGTATTCCTGGTCTCCCCTTCAACAGAATTTTATGGTCAGTATTTCTCGATTGCTAACACACATTGACGGTTCTTTATCTGGTGATTATGTGGTATATGTATGGAATCTACTACCAGTAGATATAAATGGTCAGCAGTAACTGAACATAAACATGCATCAAATGACTCTGTATTTCCATAAAACCATTATAAATAATATATAAATGGTTTAGACAAGAACTGTTCATCATCTTTATGTTGGCGGCAAAGAATCTCTTGGGCAGTGGTGTGGGATTTCAAAATAGGTTTTTCTGAGGGCCGGCAAAATTTCCTCTGGCTAAATCAGTCCTCTGATCTGCTGTCAATATTTTTTGTATTTATTGTCTACAGATTATAAAACCTGTTATTGATGTATGCTGCTAAATGATCTATTTTATGTCATCTCAGTTACAGTATACTTGCCGTTAATCACCTTTTGTTAAAAAAAAAAAACATTTTAATATTTGACCAGAAAATGTGAAATAAAAATATTACTTGTCTTTTTAAAAAAAATGTTTTTTTGTTTTCATAGAATTAAAATAATTGTTTAAGTAATATGTTAAAGTAAAATCCAGATTTTTCTTGCTGTGTGCTCACTGAGACAAGGGAGTGGTAATCTTTATATCCGAGGCAAAAACCATGCAATCATCTGTTCACTGAGACACTAAGTTAGGGGAATCCTGCATACCCAAGGCACAAATGGCAATGAAAGCAGGATTTTTCAATCTGTGTTCCTTGTGGGAACATTTCTCCCACATTTCAAATATCAATTTTTTTAATTCATTACGGCCTATATAGTTAATGTGTGCAGTCAGTGGAGGATTGCTGTAGATAAGAGAAAATCGAATAGCAGCCCTTTTTTTGGCATAAAATGATGGCTAAAGTGAAGCTCATTTCCTTGCACTTGCACACCAGGTACAATATACAATATTAATAAAGTTTTTAGATGATGCTCACCCCCCTTACAGTGCTAATGTAAGGACTTACCTTAAATGATGTCTCTATTCCGATCTTCTTCTTCCTTCCTGTAGTATCTAGCTGTCCCTCCACCGCTGGTGCGGGTCTCCCATCCAGAGCTGACTCCTCTGTCCTCTTCTCTCGGAGCCTGTGCGGTTGCACGCTGCTCCATATACTTAACTTGTGTCTCTCCTCCTCTCCCGGCCGAACATCTGAATTGCGCATGCGTCCGCCCCAAGATTTTTTTAAATCGTTTTGCATATATCTCCTGCTTGCTAGCAGGAGATATATGCAAAAACCAATAAGGGTTTAATGACACTTTATGCTTTTGTATATTTGTGCGGGTGTGGAATTTCCCTTGCTGTTAACTTAAAACAGAACCTTGTGTAAAGTACATAATTGCACATACAAACTGTTAGACCAGTTTTGCATTGACTGGTGCTAAGCCCTGAGGCTTTCTGTTAACTTCCTGCAAAGTTGAAGTTGGGAGTTTATTAATATGCACCAGGTACTTATGCTAAGCCATTGTTGTATCTTTTCAATTGTTTTTTTTTTTTTTAAATCTTTTCTAGGTAGAAGATGAGACTGTGTTACATAACATTCCTTACATGGGTGATGAGGTGCTGGACCAAGATGGGACTTTTATAGAAGAGTTGATCAAAAACTATGATGGAAAGGTCCACGGCGACAGGGGTATGATGGCATACTCATTACCTTTTTACCTCGTCTGGGTGCTGCTATTTATTTTCTTTTCAGGAATACATTGCTGGCTTCATTATTCTCTGTCTGGGGTGTGTCCAAATCCTCCCAAAGTTCCTCTTTAAATGCTTCTGTGGATTTTAGGACATCTGCTAAGCACTCAGAAAAGGCCATATAAAAAAAAAACCCAATGCAGTTTTGTGAAAACTGGAGAACTTCAGATTTCATGTATGATATGGTTATGTTTATCTCCTCACAACCATTCAGCTTTTCCCACTCCTGCATGAACCATGGCCACAAGGAAAGGAGGGGCTAATGGGGTACGCTGAAGGAAAACCCAGATTATACATCAGTCTGTCTCTTCATAAATTACACTTTCTGTGACCCTATGATTTTATGTCATCAAACTTTTACTCCCAAGTGTATTTGTATCAGTTTAACCCTTTCTCCAATTCTTTTTACTATGTCATAGCTAATCGGGGTAATAGCTCCCATTGGAGTATGGGGGTTTTCCCTGGGTTGTTTGTGCTTAAGTTGTGCTGTTCATGTGCTTGATGCACTGTTCAAGTCATACATACGTACATAGGTAATGTAACTTTCCTGTTTTCTGTGATTTTTAGTGAACGTGTTGATTGGACATTTTTAGTCATTTCAACGCCTTTTGAAAACCATGTCCTGCTTTTTACCAAAGTTCTTTGTTACTGGAACCTTGTGCTGATACATAAATGTGAGCTGCCCTCCTGAAAATGCAAGTTGTATTTGTTGTCATTCTGATCTGTGGCTTCAGTACCTTCTGATTCACTCAACCAGAGCAGGTTAAGTCAGACCTTGGAAACTGCCTTCTGGGTCAAGCCAAGCTTTATAGCAAGGAAGCAATGACAGCCTGAAGTCCAAAAAGGGGCACTATAGCTGATTGTGATATGCCTGAGCTGATGAGATGGCCTATAAAAGCCTTTAGCCTTTAGCTGCCCACTGTAGTGCTGAACCTGGCCATGTCCCACCAAACTACTGGCCAAGTGGCACTGTATGTTATGTGCTTCTTTGGTAAGGAAAGGGTAAATGTTTGTGTCTTTTACCATGTTTTTTGTCCTTGGTTGAAGCCTTTTGTCTATTTGGCTGATAATTGCAGCTGTTTGTGGTCATGTTTTTTTTTCCAGCCAAATCTCTTGGCAGCTATGCAAATCTCTTGTTCTATAACGATCATGGGTCAGGCTGAGCTGGTGGGAACACTAGCATTGTAATATGCTGATATTCTTCTATTTTTGTGTTTGTGAAACACATGCGTATGTCACAATTTTAGACGATCCTGGGAACAGGAAATATTCCAGCTCGTATTTGTGGCTGCATTGCTGCTATTTTGACTGATTTTTTTACTTGAACTGTACTGTATCCAGTTAAACTGTGGTGGTGTATCTAGAAATTTGGAGAAATATAAAGTGCTAAAATGCTTCTAAATATTTAGTACCTCAGCAAAATTTCAGTCTTATCAGCTCGCATCTGTGTTTAAAGGAGGACTACGGCGTTAGGGCTTTTCCATATAGTTCTCCTAAAGGTAACGGGAGGACACAAACTAGCGTCCTCCCGTCACCCAAAGCTCAGTATACCGGGAGCTACAGCTCGCGGGATACTGAGACACCGCAACCGGGACGGATCCAGAATTTACTGTCGATCCACCCAGCTGCGGGATTGACAGCAGGCTCTACCTATCGAGAGGCAGAGCCAGCTGTACCCTCCCCCGTCCGTTCCGCCAGTTAGCGCTGGAGGATCGGACACGGGAGGGGGAATCCTTGCAGGGAGTGACGGTCGCAGCTCTCTGCAGGGATAGATGGAGAAGTGAGCGAGCGACGGTATGTGTTCGCTCACTTCGTATTGAGCCGACCTGTGTCGGTTTCATTGTCACAGGTCGGCTGGAAATACGAGGCTGAATGATTTTCACTCGCCTCATAGTTCTCCTTTTAATATTGCTTGCCATCTTAAACGTTTTTAATCAGTGAGAATCCCCAAAACCAATCGCTGATGTATATATTCACTGTGTCTGTTACACTTGTTGTTACATTGTTTTGTCTGATTAAGGGACCACACTGGTTTCCGAAACGTTGCGATCTTTTGTCATAGCATGTTTATCCAACATCAATGAAGGACGGATTGATCATGTGGACCTCGGTCTGCTGGTGGTCTCATTACCTCTACTGACTTTGCGTTGCCATCCGCTGACCATTTTAGCACCAACAGCACTTGCGAGAAAAGATACGTCAATGGGATATCTTTAACATCTGGCCAATTTTAAAACAATGTTGTTTCCAACTGTATTGCTGTCCTTACGGTTTAATGGAGTGAGTGATCTAAAGGTTTTTTGTTTTTTTTTTAAATATATTGCAGAGTGCGGCTTTATTAATGACGAAATATTCGTGGAGCTGGTTAATGCCCTAAGCCAGTACAGCGATTATGAAGATGATGAGGATGGTGATGGCGATGACAATCAGGACGAAGACAGAGATGACAAAGAAAAGGATCAGGATGACGGCATGGATAGTGAGTAGTTATCACTGTGTTCCTTTTTACCCTCGTTATCCCCGAATATGTGCAATCAAACCTGACTTTATATTTCCTACCAGACAAGGTGACCCAACTGCCACGGAAGTTTCCCTCTGATAAAATCTTTGAGGCAATATCTTCCATGTTTCCTGACAAGGGAACAACAGAGGAGCTGAAGGAGAAGTAAGACACATTATGACCTTGTCTATATTGCTTCATAATTGTATCTGTATTGTCTGTGGACAGAGAGTGAATATTTAATCCATTGGCTTATGATATATCAGTTTTGTGTTGTAAATAATACATGTTGGCTTTTAGATGGGAGGTTACAAAGGGGTTGCTGTAATATATCCCCAGGCAAAATAAAAAGTTTGTGTGTGTGTGTGTGTGTGTGAGATCAGGAACTGACCATCACTGTCAAGGGGCAGTCATTTATGTGCTTCAATTGGAGAACAAGATCAAATGGCTGCCTTATTGGCTCTTTGGCTTCTATGAGGTTTTCCAGTTCTTCTGTAATCTATAGAAAACATTCAGATTCCAAATCCTACATTTCTTGTGTGGTTTAGAAATCCTAGTCTGTGGCTGTTTTTTGCAGCTTATCCCTTGTCTAGTTAGATGGTTACAAACTGATGACATATTGTGCAGTGTGTAATGGGCTACTCTTAATGACAGTATCCTGTGATATTATTTACTATGCTGCGGCTTTTATGATTTTCTTTCTCACACGGAATATTTCCATTTTGATATGCCGTTCTGAAAACCATACCTGCATAATTTATGCAGCATTTTTTTTCTCTGTTTACTCTGATTTCCAGCTCTGTCTGAAGCAATTACAAGTGCACATATTGTGGTTTTGATGCCACCATTAGAAGCCTGACAAGGTTTTATGTGTATAATGAATAAGCTACATGAAAGGGTTTCTTCACCTTGTGGTGAGTGCATCATAGAGTATGTAGTAGCGCTTAGAGATTCTCACTTTTGTATGAAGAAAAGCTTTTTCATCATAGGTGCATGTTACATCCATGCATTAGAGTACCACGTCTAAATATGAGGCTAGGCCCGAGGGAACACAAAACGTTTCAACACGAGAATATCTTAAAGGCTATCAACACCTAAAGCTGATGTTTCCATTTTGGATTGACATTGCTGGCTGTTATCACTCGCCATCTTGTATATCTTCTGAAGTGTATTTCAGTGTTACTCTCTACAAGCTGAAGAAAATAATTCACAATGGTTATCTAAATTTCTACTTTTAAATTTGTTATACAGCACAATTATATCTCTCGATGGTCCCTTGATTTTTTTTCTTATTAAAGTGGAACTAGACCCACTGATTTAATGTCCGGACACTGACCGATCGCGGACCTGCACTCATTTATGACTGGGTGACCGTGAATGCAGGCCATAGCCCAGCACAGGTCAGCGATCGGTCCATGTCCGGACCACGTTTCTCTTCAGTCTTTGGTTGCTAGGACTGCTGGTGTCCTAGCAACCAATGACTTCATGGTTCTTCCTCTGCAGTCTGGTTGCTAGGACTCCTGGCCAGTCCTAGCAACCAGTGACCAAGCCTTTCCTCCCCCAGCTTTACACCATCGTCCTCTCCTGCGTGTGGGGAAAAACAATAGTGGTAGATATTTACTATTAGGGCGCGTTCCCACTGGGTCCTGACCGCAATGCAATTGTCCATGCTGCAACGCGTGGTACCACAATGCTGTACTACTTCATGCACTTCTTTTTTTTCCATCACACTGCACGGTATTGCAGTACCGCATGTTGCGGTGCAGTCTATCACATTGTGGTCAGGAGGTCTGTTTGGGGTGTCATTCAAATGATAGGCAATACAACTATACCTACCGCACTGTAATGCACGGTAGGTGCCTCATGAGAAACTGGTACTGTTGTGGGGAGCTGAACCAATAAGGCCTATTGGTTCAGCCCTGCAGAACAATTCCAGTGTCTCTTGTGGCCCTCTGAAAAAATCAATTGCCCACCCGTGATAGAGGCTAAATGGCACCTTCCCTGGCTGTAAAAGGCTTGTTCACACCATGTTCGGATCATGTCCAGACCAGAAAAGTTTGTTCCTGGACCAAAAAAGCATCCCGATGTATCCCTATGGTATTTCTAGGCTCTGTTCACACCAGTGCAGTCTGTTCCAGAACAGACAAAAAAAATACTGCTTGTCTCATTTTCTCTGGTCTGGAATGCATGGGAACGCATCAAGAACGTACTGGACCGCACCTGAAAGCCCATTTTAAGCTGAAGAAAAAAACCCCACCCAGTAACGCAACAAAACACAATGCACCGTGTTCCATATCTGGTCCAGAAAATGGTGTGACCCTGGCCTAAAGGAGAAGAGGTTGTAGTTCCACTTTAAATTGTATTCACTACTTGTTAGAGTGTGAAGCTTAGTGACCCACAGTGGCTTACCCATCTGCTGCCTGAGTTTAATGCTCATAAGACAAACCTAAAACTGTCATATGAAAAGGGTGCTGTCAGAATTACATGCATGAAACTAAAGGTTACTGGACACTTTATACACTTTTAAAAAATCCAATATTGACCCTCAGCTCAAGCAGAAGACAGGCCTGCCTCTGTGGGGCCAGAGCTCATATATTTATTCTGACAGGTGGACAATACAAGGAGTGGAGATTCAGATTCCTGACTGATTCTCTTTAAATGACTGAAAACTTGTCATGGGTATGGGATGCCATCATTTGATTTTGTAATGGCCTCAGCAGCTGGGTGGAGCTACAAATTCTGATTTGAGTCTCTGGGAGATGAAGGATTCATATTGACAGTCACCACACCAGATCAAATCTCTGTTTTGGGTGGATTTCTCTTTTAGAGGACAATTAAATACATTTTTTGAGCCTTACTGCTTGATATATATTATCTTGGTCTTCCTCACCTTGCTTTTTGCTGATTCATTGCAATGCAGTCTTTTGACATATTTATAGAAATGATGAGCTGAGTTGACAACTCTTGGCCATATTTTTTTAAGTCAGGATTGTGACTTACTTCTAATGATCATACATTGTGCAGGTACTGAGGGCTCTGCTGCATCATTCCTGGCCCATTAGCCTCCCTTGTGTCTTGTCTGTCTATTTACATAATCTGTCATCCTCTTCTGTATTATGCTGGCTGTGCTAGTCCCCTAGTTATTTTTTGCACACCATTCATCCCTCTTCCATATTAACTCATTTTTTTTCCCTTGATGTGAGTATCGCAAAATGACAGAAAAGGAAACCATGCAGTTTTACAAATAACATTTCCAAAAGTTGCCAAGACTGCTGAGATTGGCAAGAAAGATTTCTAATCGGTGAAGTACCCAAACTGCTAAATTGACTTTTTCTGCCATTCGCAGATAGCGATGAAGGCATACACAGCTTGTACTGCAGAAATGGTTTGCATCTGTCTTCATATAAATGAGCAATAGAGTATCTAAGAAGATGTAACAGATGAAAAGGACATCACGGGAGGACATACACTAACCTCCTCCCGTGACCCAAAGCTCAGTATACAGGGGGCTATTGCCCGCTATATACGGAGAGCGTCGCAGCCGGGAAGTATCCCGACAATACTGTTGATATCCACCCAGCTGCGTGAGTGGCAGCGGGCTCTGCCTATCTAGAGGCAGAGCCAGCTGTGCCCCCCTCCAGTCAGCACTTGAGGATCGGAGAGGGGAGGAGGGAGGTAAGCGAGCGATGGTATGTGTTCTCTCATTCCCGATCTATACAATCGATGTGTGACAGTTTCAATGCCACATGTCGGCTCTAACTATGAGGATGAGTGGAAATCGCTCTTCTCATAGTTCTCCTTTTAAGTAAGTAGAGAAAATACCTGGTAATCCTGTGTTTTTGTGAATTCTGGTGCACAATATTTCCATGTGCACAGTAGAAAAGGTCTCTGCTGCTCTCTCTCTCTTTAGCTTAACAAAAGTCCCAACCGAAAAGTAATATCTGCAAATAAGACTTTAAGACTTACCTGCTCCTGCTACCGCTGCTGGTGAATGCTGCTACAATGAGGAGAAATTGTCCCATGAAGTCTGTTCGGAAAAGGATACTTATGGGAGTGTCTGATCTCCTGTGTCGCACACTGCTCAGCGATTCCTCACACTGCCCCTACATCATTACTGTGTCCTTTAGTGAAGTAAGGGTTATTGGGATGAACCACTGGGAGCTGTGGGGAACACATGAGATCCGCAGTTCTGGAAGTGCTAGTTTCTGAACTTTGTGGGAATATTTCTCCTGATCAGAGCAGCATTCAGTGGTGTAGGTCTGCAGGATAGAAGAGCTCAGACTTCTCTGCAGGTAACTTTTTCTATTGGAACTTTTATTTGAGTGACAGGCACACAAACAAGTTCCTCCGCTTAGGTTGTGCATGGATACTGCTGCCTATTAGAATTGGAGTTTTTCTTTTAAGTGTTTTTCATTTAATATTACATGCCTCTTGAATTGTATTGTGATTGTAATGTCTTCCTTATATTGTAAAGCGCTGCACAAACTGTTGGCGCTATATAAATCCTGTATAATAATAATGCTTATTTCAGATTTGCCATTTCACTTTCCAGGTACAAGGAACTGACAGAACAGCAGCTACCTGGAGCTCTTCCTCCAGAATGTACCCCAAACATTGATGGACCAAATGCAAAATCTGTGCAAAGGGAGCAGAGTCTTCATTCATTCCACACGTTGTTTTGTAGGAGATGTTTCAAGTATGACTGCTTCTTGCATCGTAAGTGCCCCTTCAATTTAAATTTTATTGAAAACATAAAGTTTTAACAGCCCTCTTGATATTTTAGTTTTGGCGTGTAATGCAGAAAATATACTTTTGTACCATTTCAGTTATAATTCTTCTGTCTCGATGTAAAGTGTGGTAGTTCAGTGCGCCATGTTGAGCACAGTTTGTTGGTTGAAGGCCATCTGATGCTAATCTGTGTTTGTCGCACTGCTTATAGCAATTATATAACAATTGTGTTCTTTTTCAATTGTTTCTTTTAGCTTTTCATGCCACTCCAAACACATACAAAAGAAAAAACAATGAAGCTGCAAACGACGGAAAACCTTGTGGACCCAACTGTTACCAGCTTTTGGTAAGATATATACAATATGTTTTTCTTTTGCATTCTGTATTTTTAGGATGGTCACAGATGGACAGATATCTGCCTGACAATGATGGGTAGTGAGATGCTTACCCACTCCTTAACACACGCGTTGTTGGGGCCTGCCGGGATCATGCTCCTGCTTGGACATGACATGAACTCATTGAATGCTGTTTCTGTTTATCTATAAAAAAGGGAATAATTGTCGATTCACAAATTATTTTTTCTGCTCTGAAGTGCTTGCCAATTGTGACAAGTGATGTTTGCGTTGATTGCTTTGCTTGTTTTTGATTGGCTGTGTGCGGTAAGAATAAGATGTGTGGTGCCGCCATGGTTGTAAAATGGTTGAACCCACGCATTGATTAGTATATATTTACTGCCCTGAAAGTTGAGCATCAGACAAATTACCGTATTTTGCGCTCCATAAGGCGAACCAGACCATAGGACGCAGGGAGCGTAGGGTTCTGTGACAGCTGTAGTTAGTGACAGGTGGCCCTGTGATTACAGCGCCACAGTCTCAGTGATCACACAGAGCAGGCGAAGAACGGACGTTCTTCGTCTGCTCTACGGGCTCTATGGTGAGCTCCTATGCCGTGGTCACTGGTCCCCCAGAGGAGCGGGGGACCCCAAAAAACCACAGCAGGGGGCCCTGAACACGATTGCCACCGCCACTCTAATCAGATCACTTGTATTAAACGAGCAGCGGCTCCCACTGTACATTTAGCTCTGCTTCACTCTCTGCACACCAGCTAAATACTGATTTGAGATGGAACACTGCTCTTTTGGTGGACCTACAATCATACATGCTTGTTTGTTTTATATGCCCTCTTGTTTTCATGCCTTAGTTTTACAATGTTTGATATTCTATATGTTTAAAAAGTAAAACGGAAAGTACCTTAGGAGTGACTGGTCACAGCAAGGAAGTGTCTATAAAAACTGATTTCAAATGAGGGTTATGTTTTAGGACTGGAGCTAAGCTTGAAACATCAACTTGAGTGTGGCTTACCTTTTGCCATTTGTCTTACAACACCTTATGTAGCAGAACTGTGTTTTCCAGGAAGGTGCCAAGGAATATGCTGCAGCTCTAACAGCAGAGAGGATAAAGACCCCACCAAAGCGCCCTGGTGGTCGCCGAAGAGGCAGACTTCCAAATAGCACCAGCAGACCTAGCACGCCAACTGTCAACGCGTCAGAAGCCAAAGACACCGATAGCGATAGGGAAGCTGGCACAGAGACTGGTGGAGAAAGCAATGATAAGGAAGAGGAAGAAAAGAAAGACGAATCCTCTAGTTCTTCTGGTAAGATTTTTGCTTTTAATGAGCAAGTCCTAACAGCTGTGATGAGAAGTACACATGCACTCATTCCCACAATGCATTGTTTTCTCTAGAACCAAATTCTCGTTGCCAAACGCCAGTCAAGATGAAGCCAAATGAGCTCCCTGAGAATGTAGACTGGAGTGGAGCGGAAGCATCTCTGTTTAGAGTCCTCATTGGCACCTATTATGACAATTTCTGTGCTATTGCCAGGTTGATTGGCTCAAAAACATGTCGACAGGTATTTATTTTGTTTCTTTCTCTCATGTGCAGGGGAATAAGGTTGGTTATCTTTTTTTAGAGATAATGTACACACACATAAAATCTAACCTTGATTCCTTTCATTGATGGACAGATTTCAAGATTGTACATTATCATTGCGTTTATAAGAGAGAGCCGCTTTTTTTTAAGATTTTTTTAATAGATATGGATAGAGTGGGGAAAGATTAGAACCTCTGTCAGGTTTTTGGGGGTTTTTTTTGCTGTCTATGTCCCCAGTGGAGAACTTTTCTTTTACTTCTTGTACTGGAGACAGAACAGTTAGAGGAAATCTTCCCAATGTGAAGGGAGTTGGGCGTGTGTTCTTATTAGGAGATTCCCACCACCTCTTGTGCTGTTGACACCTGGGAAATTCTAGATTTCTCATAATTTTTTCTGTGGATAGCGGTCACTGGGATGAAGTAAATTTCGCCAGTTGAGATTAATTCCTAACAGAAGTTACAACTCTTTTCTACTCCTATCCAGTGCTAGAAAAAAAAAAAATCAGTCGGCTCTAATTTGATATTCAGGCTCCATTCACATATAGCGTTTGCGTTTTCCGTGCGGAAGACACCCACAGGATACAAACGCTGTATGTGAAACAACTGCACCGCTTCTGCTCGTATGCGACCATTATATAGCCGCGAACGTGCAGAATCCGCTGTATAATCATGCTCGCACTATTTTGGGGCCTGTGCGGTTTCGTACTGCGTGGTCTCCCCGATAGTCTGAACAATGCACATTAGAGTGCATTGTTTTTTTCTGTTTGGAGCGGCTCCGCGTGTATTCGTACAGCCGAATACACGTTGACAGCCACCCCAGTGTGAATGGAGCCTCAGCCTTTGAGTTCTGTACACAAACATTTTTGGCAAGATAGTTTAAGGTTTGCTTTGTAAACATGAAAAGGGGGCCTAGAGCGCCGCCTGCTGGCTGGGAATAGCAAATATAATATATTCAATGTGTAGGGACTTATATTTTGCCTGACAAAAAAGAGAAAACACCAAAAGTGTGTTTAGTTCCTTTTTTTTTTTAGTACTGAATATATTTAAAAAAAAATGTATAAAAACACTTTGCATTCCCCCAAGCTTTAGATGCATTTTTATTGATGTTTTGGAAATGTGCCGTTTTTAAGGTAAAGGTTTATATGACCTGCTGCTCATAATTTATTTACGAGACCCCAATAATTACACTCGGGGTGAATTTCATTGATTTCCCAGTTAAACTAAAGTGAAATACTCATCTAGTTTTTATTCACCTTAGTCCTGTTACACATTTCTAGAAGACTCCACTGCTACTGTACATTATGTGTAGAAATTCATCATTTTTACTAGGAAAACGTATGTTTAAGAGAAGCATATAAAGCTATTGTAAATGCATCAGTTTTTTTTGTTCTCCACCTTTTCCCAGTTAGTGATGAAGTAATGCATTGTATTGTTCACAGGTATACGAGTTTAGAGTAAAGGAATCAAGTATCATAGCTCCGGTCCTTGCTGAGGATGTGGACACACCACCCAGAAAGAAAAAGCGGAAGCATAGGTACGTTTCTTGATGTATAGGGAGATCATCTCTGGTCTGTTGTTTATTGCTAATGAGATGAATATGTATTCTAGTACCTTGGTTCTCAACTGGTGGGTCGTGACTCTGTATTTAGTGGGTCACTGCATGGCTTCCACTTTTCTAGGTGAGAGACTCCTCAGCGTCCCCCTAGTGCAGCACTGTCTGTTCTCCACTCCAGTTCTCGTAAGATAGTGAGACTAGGTGGATCTTAAAAAAAGAAAAAAATATCAAAATTGTTTTTGTAGTGTGAATGTCTGTGGGATTGTGTCTGTGGTTGTGTGTGACTTTAAGTGTTTTCACTAGTACAGTGCGATTAATGCACTGTATCACAAAATCACACAGACTGCGCATTTTGGTGTTGGAGGTGTGTTGCATTGCCATTCATTTGAATGGCTACCCAAACGCATCTCCGAACCACAGTTCTATCGCCCACACCAAAACGCTCAGTACCACAATGCCGTGCATTCCATTGACTTGGGTCACAACTTAAGACCAAGGACAAATGTGGGTCCTGAGGCTACCAGGTTGAGAACCACTTCTCTAGTAGAACTCTGCTGCCAAACCATAAATAATAATAACCTAGATTGGTTTTCAGAGAAAAGTAGCATTGGTAAAAATATGTTTGTTAGTTTACCACCATTACTAGAGAATTGTCATCGCTCTAGATGAGGATGTATAATCCTTCTTCCGGAAAGGTAAATTGCTTGCAGTTCTTTAGCTTCTTCTCCATATTTAAAATCCATTTTCCCTCACTGTATGATCTCCAATGAAAGATGTTACCTGCTCTGGAACGGGTAGATTATTGCCTTTTCTGCATGGTTCATTGTTTCGTTGAAGAGATTAGAAAAGCAGGGATATCTACGACACATTTTCAGAATAGGTCCATAGGCCCATCCAGATTCAAACATTTTACCAGCCAACTTCTTCAGATAAAGGCAAAGAAATGTACGTATATTTGAAAATGCAGTAGCCTGGCCTTAAAGTGACAGTAAACTCAATAGTTAAATCTTAAAAATGCATTCATGTACCTTTATTAACAGAAATGTATCTTATTTGTGTATCACTCGCCTGTAAATCCTGAAATCATCTCTGAATTCATGCTGAGACCGTGCTTCCTTCTGGAGGGTGGTTACTTTTGTTCCCCATGGCCCCTGTGTGTGTTGTACTTTACTTTTTAAATATTCCCTTTAACCAGTTGACATCCGCGGTGTTAAACCCCCTTCCCATCCAGGCCATTTTTCAGTATTCAGCGCTGCGGTACTTTAACTGACATTTATTCCGTCATGCAGCGCTACTAAAAATCCTTGGCATGTATGCTGCTCACTTGGAGGATATAGTGTCCCCCGTCCCCCCTCACGTAACAAAACGTTTTATATTTCTATATATACGTAAATGTATCATATATTTTCTGGAGCTATTGTGGATATAGCTGTTTGGAAACACCAAGTTTAATGTATTTGTTTATGTTTTACAGGCTGTGGGCTGCACACTGCAGGAAAATCCAGCTGAAAAAAGGTATGTACATAGTATACCTGATATTAATGATGCAATTAATCATATCATACAGAATCATATCATATAGAATCACATTAAAGCTTGCATTCAGCTGACTGGAAATGAAATGAAAAATAAGCTTCTGCATTCCGAGATGGATTGGCTGCAGAGTTGCAAAGCTTCTTTTCATTAATTTGTTGGACTAATACATTTACAGTAAGCAGTTTATAAAGGCTGATTGTTCTATACATTATGATTTAGAGCAGGGGTGGGCAACTCCAGCCCTCCAGCTGTTGTAGAATTACAAGTCTCAAGAGGCATTACAAGACTGACAGTTACAGGCATGACTCTGAGATATGCTGGGATTTGTAGTTAAAGCGCAGCTGGAGGGCCGGAGTTGCCCACCCTAATTTAGAGTAGCACATTTAAAGCGGAACTTCAGGCAGACGGCTAAATACACAGTTAAGGAACACACATGAGCTGCTTTACCCTGCCTAAGGATTTGTATTACTATACATCCAGTCTTGAGCCCTGTCAGACACCACAGGCAGGTCTGTGACCTGACTTGTCTGCACTGCAGTTAAATTGTCATGAGAGGGGTGTTGGCATTGCAGGCCTCCTGATGAAAATGCTGGATGTCTTTCTGTCTGACTTAAGCATGTTTCCTGGAACCAAGCATGCTGTAAATGAGTGTCAGAACTACTTATTCCAGGTCATCAACTCAGACAGCACTGAAGTCCAAGTATCAGAATGGCAGACCAAAACTAGCTTTTCATAAGGACAGTCCAGCAATGGCATTCGCAGTAAATCTCTTATGACAGTGTCCCTTGAGGCCAGGTTCACACTATGCCGATCCGTGACTGTGCGGCAATCGTGTCACGGAATCGCCCGCCACTGGCGGTTCCATCATTTTCTAATGGCATCCCAGTCAAGCCAGGCGGATCGCGTGGTTTCCCGCCCCAATTACACACGCGCAATCGAACACGATCGCGGCTTAAACAGGCGCACGTCGTGTAACGCAAATAAAAAAGGTACCTTTTTTTTCTGCAATTGCCGCGCGGATGTAACCCAATTAAAATCTATAGGGCCGCGCAGCAACCCGTGTGCAACTGCACACGATTGCCCGGTCCCGGGGAGGCGCGAGTCGGATCGCCCAGGTCTGCACCAGCCTTCAAGCAGCACAGCCTGATCCATCTCCCTGTCTTCAGATTGTGATTCCAATGTGGAGAAGCAGCAGCAGACATATGAATCATCACTCTGCTCTCTCCTCTTGTCCTGTGCCAGCACATGTTCAAGCAGCACACCAGATTGGCTCCTTGTACTGCCTGATGAAGGGGATCCTGTGAGACCCCGAAACGTTGTATTGAGTGCATCACGTTATGCTGCACATACGTCAATAAACAGACGTATTTGGAGTGCCGGTGTCTATATTTCATTGGCTCCTTGTGCTGCCCCCTCCCTCTCCTAGTCTGAGTGTTTCTGTACAGGGCTAGATTTAGGTAGTATTTTTTTTTTCTCATTGCTGCAATTTTTGATTTGTTGAGTATTTTGTATCTGTCTGGAGTTCGGCTTTACTATTAACTTTGAGACAATCTGTCCCATCACCACTGTTATTATGTGGTGTTGTGTTTCCAAAATTACAACAAATTTCATGAATGTTCTACTGCCCATTTTGGCTGGACATCCCCCTGGCACATGACACGTAAAGTGGTGTAGCTATGATTTAATACCGGTTGTGTGTGCTTCAGCTCTCTGTCGGTTTTATGTTCTTCCAGATGGCTCCTCTAATCATGTTTACAATTACCAGCCTTGCGATCACCCTCGCCAACCCTGCGATGGTTCCTGTCCCTGTGTGATTGCACAGAATTTCTGTGAGAAGTTCTGTCAGTGCAGCTCTGAGTGTAAGTTACATACAGATGTAAAGGACTATGGAAGAGACACAATGACTATATAGATTTACTAGAATATATGGGGGGAGGAAATGGAGAATATATGGTGGTGTGTAGTTTTGTGTCTGTTGTGCACCTTTGACCACACTAATGTAAATAATTCATTAAGGCCAAAACAGGTTCCCTGGATGTCGCTGTAAGGCCCAGTGCAACACCAAGCAGTGTCCATGTTACCTTGCTGTGCGGGAGTGTGACCCAGACTTGTGTCTTACCTGTGGAGCTGCCGATCACTGGGATAGCAAAAATGTTTCATGCAAGAACTGCAGTATTCAGCGGGGATCCAAGAAGGTCAGTAATACAGACAAGATACTCGGTTTAAAATTCCTAGGGGTTTTCAAATGTTATTGTTCAAGAGCAGTAAGCTAGTACACGCTTCTGAAGGAAGATTTACCTTCTCACATACAGATAAAGGTGATTTAAGGAATACGTGCACACTCATACACTCCAAGTCGGATAATACTTTATTATACACACACACCTTGCACACAAACCAAACTTTGTGTGCAAGGCATGTCTACAATAAATGTATTATGGAAGGAGACGCTTTGTGCCTGTGCCTTCAGATTGTTCACGTGTGTGTTATGAATAGCACTGTAATACATCACACTGGGGGAATTTATGAACATGTTTGTGACAATTTTTTGGAGCAAAGACCAAAATGTCGAGCTAAAAGCAAATATTTTTTCTCTGATATATATATATATATATATATCTCCTTTTTTTTAAGTGGTTTTTGCGACATAATAATGTTTCACTCACTGCACACGTTTTGCATAATTTCCCAAGTGCGCAGTAATTGCACCCAGCATTTGTGACATTGAAAACCCTCCAAACTGACAGACATTCTTAAAGTATTGCAAAGATAATTCAGTTTAATACCCTCACTTGAGGTAAGCACTTCATGGTATACAGCTGTCCCCTAGGAGGTTCCCTGCAAGCATGTGGTAATTAAGGCCTGTTTTACAGCGCGTAGGAACGCGCTGAAAAACGCCCTACGCCCAAAGGAGTACAGGAGCTTCTTTGGGGCGTATTTGCCGCGCATATCCATTAGGATACAGCCGGATAGCCCTCGGAAATGTGCGTTTGTTGCGCGTTTTTTTACTGCAAAGCGCAGTAAAAACGCGCGGCACGACGCGCATATTCCGTACGCCCAGTTGTGATCCCAGCCTTAGAGACAATTATCCTGATGAAGGTATTTAGGAATTAAACATGAACCAGGATAATAAATCTGCCGCTATATGCACTAGAAATCATAGTTTAAAAGACGCCGATGATGTCACCAAATTGATACATTTCCTCCACTCTGTTTTGCTACACTACCGTGCATTGGGGTAGTGGTGGCAACACGTTGGTGTGAATGGCTCCTAAAGAGAACCTGTCAGTATAGAAATGTAGGAGACGCTTCTCAGTTCTTGTTTTGTAATTGAAGTTCTGGGGTTGGACGAGTTATCCTTGATACACTGCTCAGTAAACCACTGACCTGGAGCACACATTCCAGTGAAGTTGGGGTTCCTGACCTGCAGTCTTCTTCCTGGTCAGCCACTTACTAAACAGTAAAGCAAGTATAAAAATGACAAACCCTGAACTTGCACCTTAAAAAACAAGTCTGTGGTAGCAAGTTACATATTTCTGCCCTGACAGATTCCCTTTAAATGTTCCTGCAGCTCATGGATTGGAGTGACTTGCTCCCGATTGTCCAATAATTTGGTTTTAAATCGACAATTGACAGTAATATTGCCTTTTTTTGTGGGCTAGAGGCATGTAACAAATACCCTGTCTGTGTTTTGCTTCTCCTCTTTCAATAACACTTGGTCCCGCAGCCCGATTTCATCCATTTCTGGCAAAAGGGGCCCAGTGCTAGGTAAGGCCTCTTGAATTCTTGCAATAGATGCACGTGATTGGGCAGTATGGCTGCCTTGACATTGGGAACGTTGCCGAAAGTAAGCTGACCATTTCAGAACATTCCTTTTACAACAATCATGGGACATAGCCAAGCATTAACCTTCTATTCATGTCCTGCATTCTTTTTGTGGCTTACAATGAAGGGTAAATGCCATTGAATGTGTCCAGCTTTGTGATTCTGCTGCTTATGCCTGCCATTTTCTCATATTGATCGTCTTGCCATTTTGAGCTGCTTTGCGTTATGTGACAGTGACATGGACTGTATCCTGCAATGTAATGTTCCATAGAATATTGCACCCCTGTGCACTTCAATACATGCAATACATTTCACATGCTAACCTGCTTAAATAAGGGACTTCTCTTATTTTCCAGCATTTGCTTCTGGCTCCTTCTGATGTAGCTGGCTGGGGAATCTTCATCAAAGAACCCGTACAGAAGAACGAGTTCATCTCTGAATACTGTGGAGAGGTAACCCGAGAACATATCCACACAAATACACACTATGCTACTTTTACACATGTGGGATGTGAGCAAGTTGTTGGATTGTGTTACAAGTTTCTGGAATGAGAACAACTTGTGTTTCCCTTAGCAGCTAGTTGAATACTTCCTTTCTGTTTGCTACTTAGTTGCTTTGGGCAGTACAGATCATTGTAGGTTAGACAGTGAGGCCCGTCGTCAGATGGGGGAAAAGTGTAATTTTTCAAAATAGGTAAATGGTGCTTTATGAGTAACTGCAATACAGACATCTGCATAATTGGGTACGTTCTAGATGAGGCCTAATGTAGTATTAAAGGAGAACTATGGGGTCAAGGCTTTTCCCCATAGTTCTCCTAAGGGTAACGGGAGGACACAAACTAGCGTCCTCCCGTCTCCCTACAGTACTCGCGGTATACTGAGACGCCGCAGCCGGGACGGATCCCGACAATTATGTCTGGATCCGCCGAGCTGCGTGAGTGACAGCTGGCTCTGCCTATCTAGAGGCAGAGCCAGCTGTACCCGCCCCCTCCCCCGTCTGATCCGCCAGTCAGCGCTGGAGGATTGGAGCGGGGAGGCGGGAATCCAGTTCCTCCACTATCACGGCTCTCTGCCGTGACAGGATCGAGAAGTGAGCGAACGCCGGTATGTGTTCACTCCCCGATCTACTGACCCGACCTGTGACAGTCTCATTGTCACAGGTCGGCTAGAACTATGAGGATAGTTCTCCTTTTAAACACTCAAACTTTCTTTCAATAATCCAGATCAAACAAATCTGCATGCACAGCAAAGTATTTCTTTACATTTTTGCCTAAGCATTTACAGTCGTCAAATGCTAACTCCAACTCTCTCAGCTTCACTTCCCTGAACTTCCTGTCCAGTACAAGACCACAAGAGACAGAGCAGTCTTCAGCAGCTGTTCGTGTACTAGTTTAGAGAAGGGAGCAGGAAAGTGGCTTGGCTTGTTGTGCCTGTGTGTTTCTGGAGACGCACACGGCTTACTAGCACACGCAAGGGTGTCTCCATAGGTCTATGCAAGGGAAAGCAGCCACCCCAAAACAAGGTATCAGGACCAGGGCTCAGGGGACAAGCTGCTTCTGCAGGAAACTAAAACTTTAAACATCAAGTCAAGGGGAAGAATCCACTGTAAGTGTTTTAATCAGCATTTGAACGGCTTAAAAACCTTTTGACTTTAATATCACTTGAACCCTAATTTGAACGAAATCTCTCCTATAGAATCTAAAAACCTTTTATACATCGCTAGATAAACTCGTCTTTTTTTTTCTTCTGCTCTAAAGCTGCTTTGCCTGCTGAGCTCCCCTTTTGGCATCCATGTGAAGTAGCCAAAAGCAAAACGAATCGTTTTTTGTCACCTTTTTGTTGAAGGTTTACAAAGTTATAAACTGATTTTTATTTCTTGTATAAAATGTATATTTTACACGTGAATGTTTAAAAATAGGATGAGTCCATGGCATTTAAGGTTGCTGTATTGCTCGGACACTAGAGGGTAAACAAGGTTGCATGCTTGGCTTTCTAATGATAAAGTCAAGCACTGCCTTTTCACTTGTTTGCTGCCTCAAAACCCCCTACGGAGGGGAATGTGTCCGCCTCTGACTTCTTCAGGTGTGGCCATTGGGAATAGAGCTGAATAGCAGAACAAATTCTATTTTTCATTCTCTTTAGCCATTATAGCTACCGAGCTCTATAGTAGCTGCGGGTCAGGAGCTTGTGCCCCTTTGTAGGGTGTTATTTTTACACTGCTTTCCTCCTACATTACATTCCTGCTTTATGTATGAAAAGAAGTACTGCTTATAATTCCTCCTTGGCAACCAATCACTTGTTCCCTGACATTTTTTGCTCATTGGTTGCTAGGAGGTGCTACTCATTCTTAGGCCCGTAGTGAGTGAGTTGTGTCGTTCTATTGGACAAGGAGACAAAGCCGCAAAATGTGAGGCTAGCCAAGTAAGATTGGAATCCTTAGTACTGCTTCTGTACGCAATACCTAATACAAAATGAATATTATTGTCAATATGTGTAGTTATGGGAAGCCCCCACCCCCCCCACACACACAGACCTTTTCTCTACAGTCACTAAAGCTAATATTCTTAGAATATGGAGTGAGAAATGTGGAAGGGAGGATGTGCAGGCTCTATTACCAATTCTATGTATTGTGCGGATTCCGCTGTTACCTGTGTCAGACATTGGGTGCTGATAATTGGGATAATGAAGTCCATGGCTTTTCTGATCTGCGAGCAATTGATGGATCAATGTCTATATATAGATGTACTGTATACAGTTAAGTGCTCATCTATATGCTGTATTTCACAGATTATATCTCAGGATGAAGCCGACCGCAGAGGCAAAGTCTATGACAAATACATGTGCAGCTTTCTCTTCAACTTGAATAATGGTAAGCCTGACAAGGCCGTCGTCTATGTTGCCAGGGTATCGAACAATGCTTGTCGCCCTCTATTGTTTCAAGATGTAGCTGGATTGTTTTCCCCCTAACTAGCAAAACTGTCTGTTTTATATTATATTTAATATTATGAGAAGATGAAAGGAAGGGTAATGGGAAGCAAACTTTGCTATCAGCTCAGCATTCCGCTTGTCAGGGCTGCAGACTAATGTTAGAAATGATCTGCCAGTGATGGAAAATAATTGGAATGGTCAATTCTTACTTGGAAAGAAGTGCCATATGATGGGGTTAGACTTCCACACACTCCTTAAATGTGGATTCTGGAGGACTGGAAATGGCACGCCTGTATAAAATGCATGTTGCGTGTTGTAACTATGTAGTAATGAGCTACTTGCATAGCTGGACTAGGCAAACCTGCTGCAGATGTTTTATTCACTTGCCCAATGGGTCATAAAGCATCCTCTGTGTTATGTCAGTAACTGACCTGTGCATTCTTCATAACCGTTTGTATTTCTCTTTTTAGATTTTGTAGTTGATGCAACCCGCAAAGGAAACAAAATTCGCTTTGCAAATCATTCTGTGAATCCAAACTGCTATGCAAAAGGTATGTGGTATAGCTCGTTGTTCTTGAAGGGCCTGTGTACATTGCTGAGGTCCTATAAACCAGTTAATCTAGAAATGAATGGAAACCGCATACATTTATAACCAGCCTTTGTAGCCGGGTGCACATAGGAAGGATAACAACAATACAAAACACAAAAAGAATCCCCAGAACACCTTCCAGCCAGCCAGCCTGCAACAAAACAAGTTACCCTGTCAACAGTATGCATTAAAATCAGAGGTTTTAGTTGCACAAACCTTTGGCCAAAAATATGTAGAAGCCACACTGCCCCATCAAAGCGCCTCAGTGAAGTGTGGTCTTAACACTATTTATGAATCTCCATGTTGGAGGATATTAATGCAGTCGATGGATTAAATGCAGGTGTACCTGGAGGCAGCCTACTCCTCCTCCAAAAGGTACAGAGACGCACTGGAGTAATATATACCAGTTACACACGGGACATTATGGCTCCTCTGCTCTCATTTACATATACAGAGGATTAAAGGGAAGTTTCTTCTTTTTTAGGATGGAAATGTGATCAACTTAAAGTATATGTATTGGAAACTTTTTTTTTTAACTTTGCAGTAATAAAAACTTGCTAGGAGTTCTAATCCTTCCTGTGCCCCACTTGGTAGATTCACCTGTTTGTCCTGAGACTGAAAGTGATGGTGAAATCCCAAGTTTTTGGTTGTGACCAGAACAAGAGTAAATCTTCAGATGGGGACACCTGTTTCGTGAACAATTGTCTGAGGGGAATTCAAAGATTTTTGTAGGACTTCCCCTCTCTTTTGTGGAACAGGAAGTTGAGGACTCAGGGTTTGATCCCTTCCATATGCTTCCGAAACTAAAACATCCTTTTGGCTGTACATAAACATTTAATGGAAGTGATCCTATTAATGTGAGTTGTTTTAGATGCTTGGTTCCTGCCGTTAGTTTGTGGCTGTAGAAGTACATTGCGGGAGCCATGTTTGTTAAATCCGTAACAAACTCAGCATAGTGTTACTATATAGTAGTCACAGTCCTTACCGTTTCACTCTAAAGTCTTCTAGAGCGGCCTGAATGGAAGCAGTAGACTCTGTCTGAGATTATGATGGCAGTTTTGGAAGTGATCACAATGAAGTGCAGGTAGCCTTCAGCCGAGGAGAATCTTCGCCTATATATTATACAGTAATAGAAATGTTATGAAGCAAGCATAGAAAAATGCCAAAGTCCCATCAAACGACTTTAAAGTACTAGCTCTGTGTGTAATCACTAGGAATATGTTATCATTTCCATAAGTTATTCCTGCCCTCTAATTACTGTACCTGCAGGATTCCTATTTTATAAGATCCATCCTAACCGAGCACAGTATACAGTTACAATGCGGAAGCAATGAAAACGTGTGTTGACCTATGCCTGACTGAAGATCTTTTTTTCTTGTTTCAGTAATGATGGTGAATGGTGACCACAGAATAGGCATTTTTGCAAAAAGAGCCATCCAGACAGGTGAAGAACTGTTCTTTGACTATAGGTATGTATGGTAACAAAGCAGTCTGTAACTGCAGACATGTTTACACTACTGTAAAGGGAACATTGGATACTTGTTTCTACTAAAGGAATCCCACCAGCCATTGACCAGTGATTGATAATCCTATACCGGTCCCTTTTGGCATTCTTCAAAGTGAATCTGTGGTTTGCCCATGCAGGACAAAGCCGCAGGTTTACTTTCATGCAGATCCTTTCCTTTACTCTGCACACTCCTAAGGGCCCGTTCACACTAGCCCGTCCGCTAAAATGATGTGTTTAAGCAGGTGGTCTAAGTGCATTGTGGCAACCCCAGCAGTGTGCGTGATCATTCCTCACGAATAGCATAGTCACCTGAGACTACAGGCACTGTCCATGTCCTCTTTGCTGCTATACTCCAACAAAACACTTGATGCACACAATACTTGTGAACTAATGAATCCCGAGTCATAACTGACAGTGTAAGGAAAAAAGTTATCCAGATTGCTATTGTAAAGTTTTTGTATTTTACTGTCATTTTAATGACACTAGTAACCTAATAAATACCTCAAGCGGAAAGATTTGAAAATGTTTCAGACTGTTTTTTGAGTTTTTTTTATTTTACCCGAAAGCAGGAATTCAGCTGTAGGCTGGTAGCCCTAGGACATTGTCCTGTTCTCTGCACCGGCTCTGTGTGGTGGGAATTCCTTTAGTTACCTTGACATTTGTAACCGTCTCAGAGTTTTGGTGTTCCTGTTTTGCCAGAATGTTTACATCCAATTTGCTTTTTATTTTTTTTGTTTTAGGTATAGCCAAGCTGATGCTCTAAAATATGTGGGTATTGAGAGAGAAATGGAAATCCCTTGATTCACCAGCTACCTCCTCTTACAACCCATGCCTTACCTTCTTCAGGAATTTCTAATACTGGCTCAATTTTAGCTACAAGAAAAAAATGAGTTGAAGTTCTGAATTTACCGAGTACTGTACAAGTAATTTATAGTGACGTCAAAAGAAGATCCATTATGCTTTTTTTTTTTGCCAGATGCAAAACGTTTTGTACTGATGAACTTTTGGCAATAATGTATTGTGGTACATCTCCCACCTCAAATAAACTATACTTGAACTTCTTTATCTTTTGTGTGTGCGATTTCATCTATAATGTTTGTAATCATTCTTTTCCTACGGGCTTGTTCACACCAATTGCAGTGCATTCCAGAGCGGTAGCTGCTGGAACGCACAGCAACTGTTCACTAAACTTCCCCCTTCGTTCTGGGGCTGGAAGGGGCGTGCTGGTGCATTGAAGTCAATGGCTTTGCAGCCGCCGACTTCAGTGTATGGCCACGCCCCCTCCCGCCCCAGAATGAAGGGGGAAGTTTAGCGCACCCCTGAGACTTTTCACACCTGAAAGTCTTTTAGCAGGGTATTTGCTGGCTTTTCTCCAGTCTGGTCTGGATCAATGTTTGGCCTTGAGCATCATAAAAGGGCAAGTCTCAGCCTTTGTTATCCTCTTTATTCAGCCGATAGCCTCTCGCTTTTTGGGAGGGCGTTGCTTCCATTGCTCCCCCATGAAATCTTAACCTTGTTTTGTCAGTCTTCAGAACCCCCCCCCCCCCTTTTACCCCATCAGGGGTATTC